CAGTGCTATTTGGCAAAGACCTTTGGCGAGCGACATCCAAGTTGCTTGAGGGACTATTACAGGTCGAAAGAAGGGTCAAAGAGAGAGGGTTGGGAACGGAAGACAAAGAGTTAAACAAAGGTTGGGATATTTGAGCAGTAGCCTACTTATCACTACCCACCCCGCTCGATGCAATGGGCAGCGCGGTCCTGATTATCCTGCGCGAAGACCGATGCAGTATGAAATTATTTTTATTTTGTGTATGCATTGGTGTTTGGTGGACGGGTTCTGCTAGGGTGTCCAGCCACTAAGCAGGAGAACGATTAGGGTTCTCGTCCAAAGCCTTTAGTTCTAACAAGANTTTTTATCGACTGAAACGCCAAATTCCAGGCGAACCCCCAACCTGGAGGACCAGGAGACTGAACTTCATCTGACCTCTACCCATTGACCTTCCAGGCATGATAAGATCTCCTGGCTTTATAAAGCCATCCTGTGTAGCTCGTTGGGTCATTGAGGTGCGCAAGCCATCACACCATGTCAAGGTGCAGTCTCGTCGTAATGCACACCAAAATAAAGTGTCACTTAAAACAAAGCGAAAAATCGTGCCACTAAAATGGAAATTGAAGGAATTAATGTACCATAAATGAAGATGTAATAATTTATCATAATTCAGCAATACGCAAATGGGAAAAACGCAAAAGTCAGATCGTTTTGAGAGCGAAAAAACGCTCCGACCTGTTTGACAGGGTGAAACCGGCTTTCTTGAAGCGTGATCACACCAAACTGGGACCATTCCCACAGTTTGGCTAATTTGGTGAGATCGGCTGTATTTCCGATGAGAAATCGGACGTTACAACTTGGAATGATTCAGACACGAACGGGAAATGGCTCGTTTTCGCAGAGCAACTCTCCAGTCATCGCGCTGCTCCCTCGGGGTTTTCGAAAGCTTCCTGGCCGTTCATGTGAATGACGCACAAAAACAGAGGAGACAGTGATGGTATATAATCGGCAGATAGAAAAATGGATAGCGCGAGCGAAAGTTGAAGTCCTTGCTTTCATAGTAATCGAAGTCGAGTCCGAGCTTACAGTAATTTTTCCCCCGAGTTCACTACAGTAGGTGGTGTTCGTCAGGGTCTCTCTTTGCTTTTCTGTTTAACTTGGCTTAGATTTAATTCCTGAAACGTTATCATCATCGTAAAGCGGGATACAGAGAAGCGAACTTTTCTTATCGCTGCCAAGCTCACAATGTACATGATTTAAGTGATAACGTAAAAGATGGAGAACGATTGGACCTAATTGGTGGGCGGAAAAAAAAAGCGAACCTCTATGGTTAAAACAAAGAACGCAAAATCCTAACTGAGCAAACATTCTGACGTGATAAGAAATGGCAACAAGAACGCCACTGCTGTCTGTTCGTTGCCATAGATTTTGCTTGGCTAGCGCCCTCCACTATAAAACAACATGAGTCCGTTGATCGCCATTGAGCAAGGCTACGCTCCCTGTTGTGGCCCCTCTACTCAACTTAGTTTTCCGGACGCGGCGAATAAACTGCGCAATATGCCACCGACTAATGTGGGAAAATCTGGTTTCCCTGCGGGCAGCACAGGTGTGTTCAAGCGCAAAGGAAGCAACCTCGGACAAAAGATCGGATGGGGTGCCACAAGCCTACCTACTCCAAAATGTCTAATCGAGTAGCGAAACAAGCCCTGACTGTTCTGGACCCACCGCTTCGTATTCTATACTATTCTATATTCTAAGCGGGATAGTAACCATGGCGCTACTTATTCTCTAAATGGAGATGATGGAGCAAAAGGTCCCCGAAGTGATCTTTGGGGTTCTGGTTCTGGCGTTGCCGTTATTAAAAGTGTTAGGACGGAGCCTAAGAAACCCGTCCGATCACGCACACCTCCGAGTCAGGTCCTACGCACGCCTCCGAGTCAGGCCACACGCACGCTCCCAACGCTCCAGACAGGCTGAACCTG